ATTTCTATGCTGTTTTTAAGATACTAATATTACTCGCGATTCATTCGAAGGGATTTTAATATTGCAAAACGGTGCGGGACAAAAACCGGTGTATACCGCACCGCTGTTATAATAACTAACTTTTCCATTGACCTAAAAGTTGCGACCTGGCTCGCGCATTGTGCCCTTTTATTTCGAAGTTTTTGAAAGCAAACCGTCGGGAAAATTTTTCCATGTTAATATCAATAAAGCCGCCGGTCGGTTTTTTTTATTCGCGCAACGCGGTTCATTTCGATGATTACTTTTCGCGAGTTTTTTTTGTAGCACTAAAGAATCGATTATTTATTTTATTTCGATAATCGATAAACGGATATTTGTCTCACCCGCGCGCCCTTAATTCAATTCGCAAATCCTCTTTCGACACCTGGAATTCACCCCTTACTTCGGTTAATAATCGTTGCCGTATTCGAAGATATATGGCTTCAATATCGGGCCAATTATTGATATTTATTTACGGCTCTTGGTTTATAATGTTTCTCGGGGATTTATGCGTTTTCCCTTTCAACGGACGCACAAAAGGACCTAACAATTTACGAGGCCATTGTGAAAATATCTCTAATTTCCCAGCAATGATGCTGTTTATATTATTTCACCTGATTTATTCCATGCATTAACTTTAAAACTGCCATCTTCAGATAAGCTAATCCAATCCCCAATTAGTCGAAAAGAAACGCAGCATAATTAGATTATTTCTCGCAATTCGGGAATATTTCACGGTCAAAAGAACGAGGGAAAAGTTTCCTCAATTATAGAGATTTTTCAATTCTTTCGCGTTACATCCACGGGAAATTTCTCGTATTTACCGTGGAGATTTGTAACTCGGCTTTAAGTTGCGAGTTATTAAAGCGAATATCGGACAAATATCTACCAAAGTCTTTAGCGGATAGGCCAAAGTCAATGTTTGTTCGAGTTTGATTACGAGGCGGACTTCTTTCACTCCTGCGGATTTTATTTGCCCAAGACGGGGGATGATCCGCAGGACCGGACTCCCCTCGAATTACCTATTTTAAATCGATTAGAAATTATAACAAGATGTATTGTTTCATCTACACTAAAATGTTTGTTATTAACAAATAATTGTTTATGTATTAAACCAGTTGTTGCATTTAATAGGAATATTTTTGTTATACTGAATGTACCTAGTGCTGATTCTGGCCAGTTTCTACCCCACTTTTTCCTGCGGGTATATCGAGGGAGATTCACGACAAACATACTCTATTAGCAATATCTTTTGTGATTTATATTAGTACGCCAAATAGGTTGTAGAGATATAAAATGTTGTGATTGACTCCTCCATTTTGCCGTTTGTTTGACGGCAAACATCGGGGTTATTGAAGTTTTGGACGATAAAAGTATAAGATAAAGTTCCGCTTTTAACGTTTCGGTCGATAATTCCCGAATTTCGACACTTATATTCCTCTTCGATTGCGAAAAATTAATCACCCCTAGGGCCGGGGCCTCGCAGGAAATTAATGAAATATTGATGTTCTGATCGCCGTGGTTTTGTCGGGCGATAAACTTTTCTCTCTTCGCTAATTTTCGATACGGCGAGTTCGGAATTGTTCCGATTCGGTAGATTAGTCTACTGATTTCTCACGTCCACTATACGCCTACGTAAGCACTGAATGTTATAACATACGATCAAAGTTCGAAATTAACTCACCGCCTGGAAAATTAACATATTATCCGTGACAAGCAAAAAGGAATAGACCCGATAAATTCATCCGACGAAACCGAACGCCGAGGAAAGAGACAATTAAAATTAATTCTCGCGGATTTCCTTTCTGCCATCGAAGCCAGCCGCCCGGCGAAAAATTTACAGCTTCAGATTAGGGCTTTTGCGTACAAAAGGTACAAAGGTCCTTCGCGAGCACCGCCAGCGGATAAAAAACGGGCCCAATATCCCGCTTTTTTTCCCGATAAAATACCGACGCAGGAATTGCTTTCATATCGAAAAAAAAATAAACGGAACGTGCCTTTTATTTTTGCTCAGCCATTAATTAGAAAAGCAGGAGCCGAAACGATCATAGGTGGCTGCGACACCCGCCGCCGGCCGCCCGCGATATATAGAAACTAAGGATTTATAGGCGAATCATTTAATCTCTGTACAGGACGAGGCCAGTCCTTTGTGCTTTTGTAATATCGAGGGGACCGAAAGGGGTTCGGATATATTGAGTGAGTGTACAGTCCGTATAATAAACGCTTTGTATTAATGCGAAAAAATGGACAGTACTGTACAAGACATTAATTGGCGCAGTCAAATAATTATCCTATTAAATGTGTAGGTGTATAGAGAAAAACTATATAATTTATCAGTTCTGATGCAGAATGACTCAACCTAGCAGATGTCATTATCGGGTTCTTTTGTGGGATCAAATGGGATTCCCATCAAAGTAATCCCTAACGCCGCGATTCCTAAATAATCCACATCTCATCCGAAATGTAAGGCTTTAAATATCAATTCGTCAGGAACAACCCCTGTCGCGAGCCGCCCCACTCGGGGGATCGTTGTTGTTGTGCGTTTTTTTCTATTTTCCAATGATAAGTTTAGGGATATTTCCGTTTTCCCCGGAGACATGGCGACTCAGAAACTAATTCGAATCGAAATAGTAGTTTTTTTTCTTCGTTTCGCCTCGCACGCACTTTTGATTCCTTTTCATTCCCTTACCCCGAGTGCATCCGCCCGGGGGACGAGTCGCGGCCCCCGGGGAGCGGCGCACAAAAGATCCGGATCGCGAGGGGGCGGCGCGAATGGGTTGCAGATAAATCTAACTTCTGAATTTATCGGCCGGATTTAAATACAGTTGATTAAGGAGCGAAATCGAGTCGAGAATTGCGTTTTTTTTTTCTTTTCAATTAAACGCGAGCGCCGCCGCGAAAAATCGATGTTTCCAATCAATTTTAATTTAAAACGCGTCGGGTGTTCGTATATAAGGAAAAGGTAACGGCAGACGAGAAATCGTCGAAATAATTGGATAAATTCCGATTTGATTCGTATATAAAATCGAAATAAACATCAATCCTCTCCTAACTACACCTTTCGAAACCATTTAAATTTCCTCACGTGCAACGAAAAGTCGTTAGACGAATTAAAGTCGCGTGCACTTTTTTATCACCGTCTAATTACAGTGTTTTTCCCGTACGCCGCTGCTGCGAATAATGATGAATGAAACCCAAACCCTTATTACGCCGAGACCCCATGAATTTTTCATGATTTCCAACTTAACATATTACATTACGATATTGTTTTCGGCCGATTAGTCTAATAAACGCTCGTTAATCATCACTCCCGCTATAGGTAAACGATGAAAATTCGAACAACGTTTTAATCCTCGAGTCGCCCGGGGGAGAAAAAATCGTGTGTGTCAAGTCCTGGCGGGTCCCCGCAGGAGCCGGCCGGTCTCCGACCCTTCGGGCTCGACAGCCACTCGGCGGTGTCAGAGCCGTAATTGGATTACGAATAATTTAAAAGATATCTTCTTAAAACTCCGGGGATTCGGCGTCATAACGACCTTAATCAACAGCTTTAATAATACATCGGATTCGCTCTATATCGAACGATGATAAAGATCGTTAACGCCGAGGAAACGGCACTTATGCGGGCGCCCTTTGCCATATGCTAATTAATTTCCGCCATGTAAATATTCAGGTGAACCAGACACTGATTTTTCCATCGACTGAATTCTACCAAACAAAATTCATATCGTGATGCGAAACACGCTTCTTATAAATTGTTTATCGCATCGATACAAGGGGGTTGCAACTTCTTATCGGAATATACCTCACAGAAAAATACAATTAAGCGGGAGGGGCGCGAGCTTTAACGATCCAACCCCCTGTCTGTGCATTTAACTGGCAGCTATGATACCTATCAAACGAGATACATCAGTCACTTTGACACGCAACCCAGCGCTGTAAAAAGCGAACATTATCCGGGAAAATTCCTCGTAGCATCGAGTCGGTTTGATTTACGAAAACGAATGTCCTTCAACGGCTACAAGGTGGTACATTCGTTACGTACGCTTGATTAAATTCGCCGGACTCGCCTGAATGGAGCCCTAAACGCGAGCGATAAGGCCCCCCTTTTCGTCGAGTTTACAAGAGCTACTATATAGTGGACGGGCGATAAGAACGGGATGAATAGTGTAGCTTTTATCACCGCGATGGATTGTTATGAGAGCGATCCTATCCGGGCGTTTAAGATTTGTTAGTTACAACGATTCCTCCACTGGTACATCGATTCAGCGGGCGTAATTCGGCGACAAATAGGCGCGCTTGGAAGTATCGAGGAGACAAAGAGAAATGTTCAATCCATTTGCGGCCGTAAGTACAGTCGACCGGGAACGATCTCATTATTGTACCGACCCCACGGGTAGGTCGCCCGACCCGCGCGCCCTCTGTCTCTAATAAACGCACGCCGCAACAAGGAATAAACGACAACGCCGCAATGCATAACTCATGATTAGGGCTCACGTGATAATCCACATCTCGTAAATAGTTAGGGAGCCTTATTTTACGTCCGCCAGGTCGCTCGCGTTTGAGACTTCGAGGGGGAAGAAGTGATTACCTTTATCTTACAGGGTGAAACTCTCATACCTCTCATAATACTTTGGTATACTCATCAAACGTTAAATTCAGTTAGCAACTCTTGCAACTTTATATTAGTTGCCTAACTCGCTCGAATTAAGTAATTTGGTGTGTATATACAAATATGGTAAGTTAAGGAAAATTGATGGAAATAGAGCGCCCTGTATAGGAGCGAACGGGGAGTTCATTCCGTCCTGTAATCTCTTCGAGCGCGGTATCATCGCATCGTCATCGGCGGGAAGTAAGTACGTTCGTTTCGCTCATAATATGGACAAATAACAGACGAGAAATGTCATGCAAGGCCGTTACGGGCGAAAGTTTTCTTGTAAAATTACCCGACGAGACTTATATACGAAAACGGAATGTGTACTTACCTCGCAGCTGGATTGGTTGATATTGCTCAAGTTTAGTCGGTAGACGCGGTCCCTGTAACAAGAAAAAAATATATATAACTTATATGATATTTGATGGCTTTTCCCCGTTATTACTTCTATTAGTATCTCGCTTGATTTTACGGGGTGTATACGCGGTTATTAGGCTCGCATATTCGCGAATCGATTCCGTTCGTCCCTCGGCGTTTTCCACTCCTGCAATTTTTTTTTATCATCCCGACCGATGTTTTATATTCGACGGCCGTACGAAAAACCGCATGCACGTCGCTATTATTCGTGTTTTGCGTTTTCGACATGAATGATCGCGAATTAAACGGCTCGGCGGACGAACAACGGCCGGACTTTTATGCGCAATCATCGTTAAAACTTAGATACTGTTTGCCGAAAACCGGAGCTTCATTCCATTCTAATTAATTTGAACAGAGGACGAGCTGCAGCGCAACCGAACGATACGTGTTTGTGTGTTTGCGTGCGTATATCAAATAGAGTCAGAGATAGTATATACCTATAACCTGAAGCTTACATTCGATATTCGATTACCTAGGAATTAACAGTCACAATGGGATAATTCCTATTGCAAACAGTCGCAAATTCAATCCGGAATAGTAATAAGTTAGATGTTTTTAAAGCGTGGAATTCGGATTAGATATATAGAGTTAAATTTCATGTTTTATTGGGGAATATATTAATGGAGTTCTTGGGGGTAGGTACAATAATATATCGTCATATCAGGTTAGCGTCCGATAAGCGAATAACCGGGGCTCCCCTTTGAAAAGGTACATTCAAGCGGAAATAACGCTTTGAAAATGGCCGAACGGGCGAATAACGTCTAGCGTTTCGGCTTAGCGTTGCGTTACGTTTGCCGCAAATTTAACCGGCAACATGCAGGCGATTTTCGGCACACGTAAATGCGAATTTCGAGAGAGAAATTGCGAGAAAAATCCCGAAGACCGGTGCGGGTTTTTTTCATCCGATCCGCGGGCCCTTTTGTTTCTCTCGCCGAAAGAGAAATGATGATTATGTAGCGAGTACAAAACGTTATTCAAACACGTTCCTAAACGGCTTTCAGACTTCCATCTAAGCACACGAAAGGCGTTAATATCCCCAAGGAGCCGGAACAAGGATATCCGAGGATATATCAAGAAATATATTTCCTATGGCTTCTTGGAAAACCAACAACGCATTACGGCCCCGAAGTCTGCACGAAATTCGTTCGTTTCGCCAGGAAATTGTACGAATTTTTCTTTATTCGCGTTCAGCTGCACGGTACAAGACTCTCCTTGCTTCCGCGTACAAAACTTTCAACTAAAACAAAGCAATTATTTAATAGCGAAATCGTGAAATATTTGCGATTCGGGTAATTTAATAACGTGCATTCGACTCGGTTTGAGCTTGACAAGACATCAGAATTCGTTAGAAAGGTCGCTCCGTGATATTACAAACAGAAAACCGTCGAGGGAAAACGGCCGAATTATTTCATGTCACTCATTCGTTTTCTATGCGGCACAGATAACGTCGAAAATGACATTGTATAAACTGCTTTGAATAGTCGATGAAGTGACTACTATTCCATGGTAGAAAGTTAATTTTGCAAGGGGGATTTTCAGTAGAACTCTGACAACAATGTAGCTTTGTATATCAATGATGATATTTCTGTCAAAGTGATTAGACAATTTGCAGAGTTGCCACGCATTCTCCAAATTCGCGAAACTACCTCAAAATAGGCTCGGTATATTTTTAATGAGCATTAGGATAAAAGCAGTATGTGTGGGGATTTTTCCAGCGCCCACGACGGATTAGTTGCGGGCATATGAAACGATCGCATGACATCCGAACAATCCGGGTTTATGAGATCAACCCCGAAACGAGACGAGAAGGTTAAGTCGAAGAAAAACAAGACGATGTTCTCCCGGAAAGGGAGCAAAACAAAGGCATAAAAAAACGAAGAAACAGTCCCGAGCCCCGATGGAAACGTATTTACCGCCGGGGAACTAACATATGATATTATCCATAAAAATCTAATCCTATTAACTTGTCCCCGAATAACTTGCGAGGCGCCCGTTCGACAAAAACTGAAATCTTCCTCTCGCGACAGGAGCGTATTAGTTCGCATTTTGTTTACCAGATAATTAAACTTTTCTAACGAAAAAAGATGCACACGTCAATATGGTAATGAATGCATCTGTTGTCTACACCTACGCCATTAAAACTTGCGTATTTTCATGAATACCAATGTAAATATAATTACTTCGTATGCCCGGCAGACTTCCAGGTGGTTTTGTTGTAGCACCGGTGAGGAAGAACGCGAATAATGCGGAAAAATTTACACAATCGGAATCTGCGAAACCAAAACGTGCTCGATTTCACTTGATACAGTTTACGCAGCAAATCTGAGAACGTACAAAATTGACGAAATCTCCCATTTTCGCGACGAATGCTAGAGAAAAGGAAACCTCTCGCGAGCTCATCCTATCACAACAAACTATACGAAAATGTAATAGTAGCGTTGCTCATGGACTTTTTTCCATTTCGAACTTCAAACATCAAATTTTTACAAGCGAATTTGTGCTAATGTAATCGAAAATCGGGCTACTTTGTCAGCTTCGCTTAAAATTTATTGTTAGGAATAGTGCGGGGACTCCATAAAAAGTTTAATAGATGGAAAATATGGCGCGCGGGGCGCCGCACTATAACGTACGTATATAAAGATGTTTGTTCGCCGCTAAAGTATTTTCATCGGTTTCCGCAGGCAGTCTCCGAAAAAGAGCTGCTTTCGCAATGATTTAGAGGGTTAATAAAAATAAGGAAAACGTCAGGAAAAACGTTATGAAAACCGGCGCGGGCGGGCGCGGGGCGGCGTCGCGAAGAGACGGCCAGTCGCCGGCCATTCTTCAGCACTTTGAAGATAATAAAGAAGTTTATGAAACGCGCGCCCGCCGTTTTCACTTTAACGGGCGATAACCAGAGGGGGGTCACCTCAGCGGTTTTCCGATGGGAAATTTTATCGCCGCTCCACTCTAAAACTCGACCTTATTGTCGCGCGAAAACCGCAATTAATTTCACCGCCTCTATATACTTACACTTACACACGATTAAAACAAACCCCCGGATTTTTTCAACCCCCCTGAAACTTATTTCGATAAGATCTCGAGCTCACAATAACCCGCTTTAAAAACCCATCGCTCACAAGGAGAAAATGAAAATTGATTACAATGAAACTAACTTACCCTTCGCTCCCTTTCGATAGGACGCATATAATACTATTTTAATTTAGTTTTTCCTTCCGATCTCATATTTTTCCGCTTATCAGATCCGGATAAAAAAGTTAGCTTGTTTGACTTGTAGTTATACCAGATCGGCGATAACGGAACGAATAAGTTCACAGCGTCGAGCGATAAGGCGTCACGACGGTCACGAATTTTCATACGAAAAGGGGGCCAAAAAATACACACTCCAAGAAAATTACATCATGGGAAGTTTATTTGGAAAATGTAGTGAAACGGTATAGAAGTGATACGTTCTGTATCTGTTTAGTGTATAGTAAAATAATGATTCTATAATTCTAATCAACATCGGGGCGTATTAATTAACGGCGCGGGGCGCATATAAAGGGCTGCAGTCCTGCAAGGTTTGATTAATTCATTCCTGCGATGCGAGACGAGCGCGCGGGTGGGATCGTGAATATTAATTTTTTGGCATAATTGACTTTTTTATTGCGCGGCTTCGCGTTCTAAATAATGCAAGGCACAATGAGCACGTACAAAGAAATTAAAAAACGGGTCTTTATTGAAAATTTATGCCTAGCTGAAATTGGCCGGTCGACGTTTTCCACATTTAAATCATCCTGCACACACACATACACCTTCCTGCGTATTTGTAATTATTTTACGTTTAAAACAACGTAGCAGGAACAAAAAAAGTAGTCGATTACCACGAGCAGATATGCAACATTTTTTTGTACAGATTTAAACGATAATCGCATTCGCAGCGTTGCCACGCATTCTCCAAATTCGCAAAACTCCTCCTTAACAACACATTAGAAACGTTTTTCGAACAAAACCGAAGGGCGAAGTAATTGGATTTCACTTAGTACAATTCCCGGCGACTAATTAACGTTCGGTATCTGTAGCGATTAATTTGCGGCCGGGGATGACATTGCAACAAAGATGTTATCAATCCCGATGTCCCGTAATCACGTGATACCTATATACGCCCGCGCCCCGAGGATCGCAGATAATGACATAACCCGATCTAATTTACTCGAGGACGCCGCTATTAGCGTCGCGGCGGAGGAGACGCCGGCGAAGCCGCCCCACCCTATCTGGACCCATCATCTTGTTATTAATTACCAGCGAGAGCCCTTCGCCGCTGATAGGCGTACACAAAATGATTTCTTCACGTAATTCAAAGTAGTCATGAATTTATTTATATACAGGGGTTATAGTGCGCATGATATCGCTCCTGCTGGATGGTTTATTTAAAGCGATTAATTTTCGATAGCCATCGCCGTATAAAAGCGGGAATTCCGGGCGTGTTTGTTCGGCCCTTCGCCCGGTGTTTTTTCAACGGGTTAGCCGGGTTTGTTTAGGTTCATCAACGCCTATTGTCGCGAGGTTTTAAGACGGTATGATGTAAGTTGAATAAATAATGGAAACCGCCGCCGATGCGGTTCGATTCGGTAACGACGAGGCCCGGCACGCACCGATGCAATTAGGAATGTCCTCCCCGGAGCCATTGTTGCTTACCGGAGCGGCGCGTGACCGGCCTAACTAATGCAACTCCAGGCGCCGTGGTTTTTCTATTAAAGGGGAGCGGAAAGTCCCGACGACGATTTCCATAATCCCGGAAAAAAAGACCGCGTATACCTAATGCGTTATATAAATCGGCGTACGGAGCATTTTCATATTAAATTTCCACTTTCTCCCCGTCGAACAATGCGCGGGATTTAATTATGAGAATTTATATCGCGGAATTGATGCGGAGTTAAACTAAAATTGCGGAATAGCGAGGCGCTCTAATCAATATGGCGTTTGT